CCTGCCGCGTGAAAGGGTAAAACTACAACCCTATAGAATCCCAGACGCCCATCAGGAGGCAATACATACTGGATTTTGGGGTGATAGAGGAGTCCCAGAGTGACCGGTCCAGCCCCATAGTGTTGGTGCCCAAATCGGATGGAAGCTGGCAATTTTGTAACGACTTTTGACAGTTAAATAAAGTTACAAAAATTTGACACCTACCCCATGCCAGGGATAGATGAATTAATCAACCAACTGGGAGTAGCCCGGTACATGACAATGCTCGATTTGACAAAAGGATATTGGCAGATTCCCCTAGCTGAGTCAGCAAAGACTGCATTTGTAACCTTGGACGGGTCATTCCAGTATAGAAGAATGCTGTTCGGGATACAGAATGCACCGGCCACCTTTCAGCGAAAAATGAATCAGATTCTCTGCCCCCATCGGACGTATGCTGCAGCTTACCTGGACGATGTGATTGTCTATAGCACAGATTGGGCCTCACATTTGCCGGGTTTACAGCCAACCCAAAGAAGTGTACTATTGGACAGGAAGAGGCCTGGTACCTTGGGTACACTATTGGGAGAGAAGTAATAAAACCCCAAGTCAACAAAGTTGAAGCGATACAGAGTTGACCGCGTCCAAACAACAAGAAGCAGGTACGGGCTTTTCTAGGATTTACTGGCTACTATTGGCGATTCATTTCCCGTTTTGCTTCTCTGGAAGTGCCTCTAACCAACTACACAAAAGGGAAGGAGTCGGTCATGGTTAAGTGGTCCCCAGAGGCTGAAGTAGCATTTCAGTCTTTAACCTCCCTAGGGTATTCCCGAGTCTGGCTCGGGGTAAAATGCAGCTGTCAAAAGCGGTAACCCCGAGCCAGACTCGGGCTGACCACAATAGTATTACCTGGTGCTTATCTGTGTCCCTGGTCCTGCGCTACTAGCAGCCATCCCCTCCGTCCGTCCCTAGTCTCCTTCCCCGCTTCCCTGCTCCTCTGGTTCCCGTCTATTTCACACTGATCAGTGTGATCAGCGCGAGTCTGACGTGCCGTCGGGGGGCGGGGCTTGTGGGAGGCGGGAATTTTAAAAATAGCTAACATTCAAAAATAAAGTGTTACTCTGTGCATACATTGTAACTCCACCTGTGCATATAACCATAGTGCAGTTTTTGTGATTAAAAACAATTTTGTGCCATATTGCGCTTATGGCTACCAAAAAGTGCCTCGCTAGCGATAAAGCGGTTTACAATGAGCTAGCGAACAGCGACAGTGAGGAGCTGCTTGAATTGGGTGATAGCGACTCATGTGGCAATTTATCATCTGACACCGAAAGTGAAGATAGCAGCGAATCAGAGATGGACGTGAGTGATCTGCGCACATGGTGCACTATTGATTGTGATACACCAGCGCCGCCAAGGTTTCCGTTTACCGGCACACCCGGTATGAAAATACATGTTGAGGGTGACAATCCCTTGGCATACTTGGAATTGTTTATGACCGATGAGGTCATTGAAATTATTGTGACGGAGACAAACCGGTACGCAGCGCAACAAATGGGTGCTCCTCAGAGCCGGTTTTCACGCAGCAGAAAGTGGGAGCCTGTCACCAAAGATGACATTTGGCTGTTTCTCGGCCTAATTATTCTGCAAGGAGTGGTGGGGAAACCACTGCAGAAGTGGTACTGGACCACCAATAAAATGCTCGCCACGCCGTTCTTTGGCACTGTCATGTCGGAGTACAATTTTTCCCTCATTATGAAATATTTGCACTTCGCAAATAATGAGGATTTTGATGAAACAAGTCATCCAGCTCCCAAGCTAAAAAAAATTTGGGAACTCTACCAAGTAATTGTATGAAATTTCCAGCAGACCTATGTGCCAGAGAGGGATATCAGCGTAGACGAAAGTCTAATGGCCTACAAAGGAAGGCTCAGCTGGATACAGTACATCGCGTCCAAGAGAGCAAGATTTGGCGTGAAATCCTATCTGCTGTGCGAATCCTGTACTGGCTACATCTGGAACGCAGTTATATACACCGGCAAAGGAACAAAATTCAATCCTAAGTACAGCAGCTACGGACTGGCAACATCATCCGTCCTGTCACTAATCGAGCCTCTGCTAAACCAAGGCTATTGCATAACGACGGACAATTTTTTACACCTCGCCAGAACGAGGTTCTTCTTCAAAACAGAACGGATGCCTACGGAACCGTTCGGGCTAACCGGCGTAACCTGCCATCCATGTTTGGAAAAAACAAACTAAAGTTGGGAGAATTAGTTGCCTGGCAGAAAGGCAAAATGATTGCGCTGAGATGGCGGGACAAGAAGGATGTGTGCCTGATGAGTACCATTCACAATGCCTCCACAGTGATGGTCCAAACAAAAGGTGGCAAAAACATCCAGAAGCCGCAGGTTGTCATGGACTACAACAAAACCATGGGAGGTGTCGACAGAGCTGACCAAGCTATGACGTTTTATCCTACGATGAGAAAGCAGCAGAGAAAGTATTATAAAAAGATTTTCCGGCATCTTCTGGAGCAGTGTTTGTGGAATGCATACGTTCTGTTCCGCAAACACAGTGAAAAGCCTGTGATTCATGCTGACTTTATATGGAAATTGGCGGAATCCATCTTCCCGAAATACCAAACGCCATCAGTGTCTGTGGGTAGACCCGGACGACGTTCTGTGGAAGTTGTCAACCCAGAACGTCTGACTGGACGTCATTTTATGGACCACATCCCACCAACCCAAAAAAAGGCAGCACCTACCAGGATGTGTGTGGTATGCTGCTCTCGGAGAGATAACAGTGGAAAAAAATCCGCAAGGAAACAAGGTTCCACTGTCCTGATTGCGATGTTGGACTTTGTGCAGTTCCATGTTTCAAAATTTACCACACCTGGGATGTTTACTAAAAAAAAATGCAGTGTCTGTATAATATTGTTTGGACAGAGTTCCGTGTGTTTTATTTGATTACATTATTTAATTTATTATTTATTATTATTATTTTTTATTATATTATAATTTATGATTTAATTTATTAAAATTTATTGCACCAAACATGTCTACTAGACTTTTGTTTAAAAAGATTTCGGGGAGTTATTCCTAAGAATTACAGGCCTACAATAAAAAAACAACAAATTTCCATTGAAAAAAAAATGTACCGCTTTTAGCACAGAAATACTGACATAATCATACCGCTAGGGAGGTTAAAAAGGGCCTTATGTAGCCAGTCAGTTCTATACTCACCGGACTTCTCAAAAAAAACCTTGTGGTCCAGACAGATGCATCCGATGTTGGCTCAGGAGCAGTGTTGTCCCAGGTTTGGAAGGGAGAGGAGCACCCGTTAATCTGCCTCAGCAGAAAGCTAAAGTCTCACGAGGAAAATTATGCCACGATTGAGAAGGAGTGTTTAGCAGTAAAGTGGGCCCTAGATTCCCTTCGGTACTATCTGCTAGGCAGCCATTTTGACCTGATCACGGATCACGCTCCCTTAAAGTGGATGGCTCAAAATAAAGAGACCAATAGAAGGGTATATAGGTGGTTCCTGGCCCGGCATGAATTCCACTTCACTGTAAAGCATCACCCTGGGGTTCAGATGGGGAATGTGGATGCTATATCCCGGGTTCATGCCTGCCTAATGACTTGTGTTACAACCCCAAGGTTGAAACAAGAGGGGGGGGGTATGTGACAGTAGGCAGGTAAAATCACTTGGCTGTGTCCAGGATGGCAGATACATTTGTCCAAGATTTAGGCTCTATGTGGATCTGTTCCACTAGGGGGAAGTGCTGATCCTTCAGCAGTGAGGTAATGAGCCCAGCTGAAGGTAGTGGGCTCATTAGGGCCTCTATAAAACTTCTGAGCCTGCTTAGGAACCAGTTCTGTGCCTGAGTAGACTGGGGAGCATCATAACTGTCTGTGTGGTGAGACAAACGTCTGTGTGGCTAGCCTCAAATTAACAGGGACAGATAGGGGCTGGGTGTAGCACCAGACTGCACCTAGTTGATAGCTAGGGAAGCGTTTTGTATAGTAAGTGGCCAAGTTGGCAAGGATTTATTTTCATGTTTCTTTTTGGTTTGCTCTTGTAAATAGTGTAAATAAACTGCACCTTTGTTTTTTCACCTACACTGCTGTTTTGCTGTGCCTGTTTTGTGTTGTGAACTCACTCAGGGGGTCACACACACCCGCTGCTGAGCTAACCCTGTTATATATATATATATATATATATATATATAATTGTAAACACACAAAGTATATTTTTTTAATTGACAAACATATCATACTTATTACCTGCTCTATGCAATAGTTTTGCACAGAGCAACCCCAATCCTCCTCTTTTCAGGTCCCCTGCTGCCACTCTAGGCTCCTCCTTTTCTCCGTGCGCCATCATAGGAAGCTGCTTCCTATGGTGGCACACTTTAGGGCTCAATCTCGAGCTGAGTTATGTGTGTCTATAGACAAACACAGTGTTGCTCAGCCCTGCCTCCTGCTCCCTTGTCACTGGATTTGATTGACAGCAGCAGGAGCCAATAGCTCCCACTGCTCTCACTAAGCCCAGTGAGGAGAGAGAGAGCAGGGCTGCTGCTCTTGGGCACAGTGCTGGATTGAAATTGGACTCAGGTAAGTATTTAGGGGAGATGGGGAGAGCTGACAATAGATTTTTTTTATTTTAATGCAGAGAATTTATCAAGGTAAAAATGCTTTAGCCTTTTCAACCACTTTAGGTGTTGAACAGGAAGGCTGTATGTAGCACTAAGCTTAAAGGCTAAGTTCAACTTTTTTTCTAAATTTCAGTTTCCCTATGTACCATTATATCATTAACTACCTGCCGACCGCAGATAGCCGAATGACGGCTAAACTGCGGCCGGCCAGTTCTGGGTGGACGTCATATGACGTCCCCCCAGAACGCGCTCTCCTGCGCGCCCCAGGGGGGCGCGCGCACCCGGCGATCTCCGTGATCGCTGTGTCCTACGGACACGGCTGATCACGAGATGTGGTAAAAGGCCAATCATACCGGCCTTTTACCCTGTGATCAGCGGTGTCCAATGACACGCTGATCACAGGGAAATGCAAGTGCCGGTTCTCGGCTGCACTTTCCTCACGCTGTCAGATCGTGAGGAAAGTACTGCCGAGAAGCGGCAGTTGTCAGAGCGGGGATCGGCACCGATCATCAGGGCACTGATGATCAGTGCCCTGATGATCGGTGCCCAGCAATGCCACCCACAAGTTCCGCCCACCTGTGCCCAGCAGTGCGCCCACTAGCTCCGCCCACCTGTGCCCAGCAGTGCACCCACCTGTGCCCAGCAGTGCACCCACCTGTGCCACTCTGCAGTGTCACACACCTGTGCCCAGAAGTGCCACCTACCTGTGCCCAGCAGTGCCACCCACCTGTGCCCACCCACCTGTGCCCACCAGTGCCGCCCACCAGTGCCCACCCACCAGTGCCGCCCACCAGTGCCGCCCACCAGTGCCGCCCACCAGTGCAGCCCAGTGCTGCCAGTCAGTGCCACCAGTCAGTGCCCAGCGGTTGTGCCAGTCAGTGCCCAGCAGTGATGCCAGTCAGTGCCGTCTATCAGTACCCATCATCAGTGTCACCTATCAGTGCCGCCTATCAGTGCTGCATATTAGTGCCCGCCATTATGCCCGTGCCACCTCATTAGTACTGCCTATCAGTGCCCTTTAGTGCTGCCTATTAGTGCCGCCTATCAGTGCCCATCAGTGCTGCCTCATCAACGCACATCAGTGAAGGAGAAAAAATTACCTGTTTGAAAAATTTTATAATAGAAACAAAGAAACTTTTTTTTTTTTTTTTCAAATTTTTTGCACTTTTTTAATTTATAGCGCAAAAAGTAAAGCGCCCAGTGGCGATTAAATACCACCAAAAGAAAGCTCTATTTGTGAGAAAAAAAATGATCAAAATTTCATATAGGTACAATGTTGCATGACCGCGCAATTGTCAATCAAAGTGCGGCAGCGCTGAAAGCTGAAAATTGGCCTGGTAAAATAAGGGGGTATAAGTGCCTGGTAGGCAAGTGGTTAATGTACCTCTTTGGTAAAAAAAAGTAAAAGCTTTCTATATTATCCTAGACAAGCCCTTTTCTCAGCATCCAGTTAGTTGAATGGAAAACTTAATTACTTCCTTGGCCCTTAGGTTGGGAAAACTTTTAAGACACAAGTCACCAGATGACCTCATTAATACACCCCCTGCACCTGCCCTCCCCCCTCCAGGAGATTGCTGCCACCCACCTCTGTGCACACATACAATCAATATCAAGGAACAACATTCTTACTGAATAGCCATAGATCTTCCATCAACTATGTAGTGCAAAGGCCTAGCTGACTGGAAGCAGAGTGATTGGATAGACAGTGTGTCATTATTATATAGTTTTGATAAATCTAAAAGAGATTGTACAATCAGATTGTATATCTCAGTGGCGATTGTATCACCAGCTTTATACACCTAAAATTAACTAGTTGTGCTTTCAATGTCATTAAATTTTAATGGCACCCCAAACATACAAGCAAACACACATTTTACCATGTGAAAGATAAGAGTGACAAACGCAGCAAAACGCAAAGTAAAAAAAAAGGGCAAACTGAAATACACAAACAAGCCAAATTATGTGCATTCCCACTACGCTAGGTGTGAAGGGGGGCCTTAACGTGAAACTGCTGTTTTAACACAAGAAAAATGAGGCTCCATATAAATCTGTACATTTGTGAACATCTAGCAAACTGCACAGAAAATGTGCGCTTTCCTGTTCCTTTTTAGAAACAAGCAGCAAATGCGCATTATGCTTGCATTGTCATTACATGATAAAGGCACCTCAAGTGCAGGTAGCATGCATGCATTTGCTGTGCGACAAACACCCTGCAAACACACAAAAAAATGCCTCTAAAATGCATCACGAGCCATGGAGCTTCTGGATATTCTTTGGGGTGATTATCGCATGTAGTGTAGCCCATTTAGGTAAATAGACTTCCCTATGTGTGATGAGAGAAAATGCTCAAAAACAAAAAATCAAAAAATGAAAAGGTGAATTTACTCTTTAGTTTTCAAGTTTCACTGGAGTGAATGTCTAAGTGTGGTATGTGTAGTTACGTGTTGTATACAGTATATTCAGATTTTAGCTAATGTTTCATGTGAATGATAATCTTGCTTAAATGTACACAAAATTATTTCTGTGCCATTCTCTAAATTCGCACTTTGCTTATCTCTAAAGCCATTACTCTCATACTTTCCTTAAGAGTTTGTAACTTCTCAGTTTATTGTATGCTTATATTACTTACTACGGTAAACAATGAAAGGTCATTTACACGGTCATAAAATTCAACGCATTGCCTATTCTTGTTTTATTACATGTAATCTCAGGTTTCTGTTCCTTTTGTTTACAATGTTTTTTAAACCATAAATGCAATAAGCCAGCAAATGACTACAGGTTCTCATTCACTTTTGCTTCTCTAAGGTTTGATACAGCCTTGTGGCAGTGACCAATGAAAGGTTAACTGAAAGCAGAGTTCCACCCAAAAGGGGAAGTTCCACTTTAAAGATTGGTCCCCCACTTCCCATTAAGGATTGGCAACTTTGGGGAGTGGAGGGGGGGGGGGGACAGGTACCTGAATTTGACAGGTACCCACTCCTATTTCCGCTGCGATCAGAAATGGATGTTGTCCTCCTACCCTCCCTCCCCGAAGTCTTGTGGGACATGTGACAGGTCCCAGAGGATGACAGGGCCATTCAGGAAGCACAGTGCTACACGTGCATGCGCAGTGGGGCACCCGGCTCCTCTCCGACACATTTGGTGCACACACACATTCTCAAAGGGACCGGCTTCCACGTGGATGTGTATTTCTCATTTTTATAAATACTACACTATATACCGCTGTTTCTTGGGCTCTGCATTGTGAGCAATCCCTACAGGACCACTACTGGTATACTAGATGAGATTTCTAGAGATGCAGCAAAAAGAGTTCTCCACCCAAAAGACAGAGAAAATACTACCCAGATTAAAAAATGAAAAAAAAAAGACAGTTCCTTCTTTCCCTTTTTGATATTTGAAATCCAAGAGCCCATTATGGATAAATGATCAAAAAACTAACAAAAGATTAAATGCCCATACCAGAGTTTCAAAGTTATACCGTTTTGTAAAAGGGATGGCAAAATATTGGAATATAGTTCCCAAAGTAGCCACCTCTTTACAGAGATTGGCCAGCCACATAATGTTTCCACTTGAAGGTTCAGTGTCTTTGAGGTATTCAATGGACTGCAATATTGATACAGGTCTGAAGAGGATGTACACTGTGATGTGACCATCCCGTATGGCCCTCAGAGTTCGGGTGACAAAAGTGGAGTCCTGGGGTTCAGGAGAAGTGCAATTCTTTAGGATAGCTGTGGACTTCATTGCTGAAGCAGCAGTGGATCTAGTCAGAATGACAGCAAAGTTAATGGCTCACACAGTAACACCAAAAAAGTCTTAGAGCTAAAGCATTGGTCTGCTGACAATGCTTCTAAACACAGCCTTGGTTCGATTCTATTTGATGGGAAGCTCCTTTTTGGCAAGACCTTTAAAGCTGCCATTCAGCAGGTCTCCGATGGGAAGTCAGGTCTTGTCCTGCAAAAAAGATGACAACGTCAGTCCTTACGCTCTTTCAGAAGAGTTAAGAATCATTTCAAAGAAGCCAGTGCGTACAGGCCTGGTGGGCCATTTTTCAGATCTTGGAAGAATGTCAGTGTAGCATTTCCCAAGGGAGTCAAGTCCAAATCAAGCCAGCCAGTTAAGTCTTTTAACAAGGCCTTCGGAAGGTGTCTCTGCCCAGCCCTCTCAAGTGGGAGCAAAATCGGCTCTATTCAGGGAGGTCTGGGTGGAAGAAGTGGAGGATGCTTGAATTTTGGATATCATCCGAAGTGGATATCTGAATTTGCAAAAAGGTCCCTCAGTATTACTTTGGGGGAATTCGGGTACCAATGTGTCTAGACAAACTGAATTGTTTGCATGCATATACAGTGGGGCAAAAAAGTATTTAGTCAGCCACCAATTGTGCAAGTTCTCCCACTTAAAAAGATGAGAGGCCTGTAATTGGCATCATAGGTAGACCTCAACTATGAGAGACAAAATGAGAAAAAAAAATCCAGACAATCACATTGGCTGATTTGGAAAGAATTTATTTGCAAATTATGGTGGAAAATAAGTATTTGGTCAATATGAAAAGTTCATCTCAATACTTTGTTATATATCCTTTGTTGGCAATGACAGAGGTCAAACGTTTCCTGTAAGTCTTCACAAGGTTGGCACACACTGTTGCTGGTATGTTGGCCCATTCCTCCATGCAGATCTCCTCTAGAGCAGTGATGTTTTGGGGCTGTCGCTGGGCAACACGGACTTTCAACTCCCTCCAAAGGTTTTCTATGGGGTTGAGATCTGGAGACTGGCTAGGCCACTCCAGGACTTGAAATGCTTCTTATGAAGCCACTCCTTCATTGCCCGGGCGGTATGTTTGGGATCATTGTCATGTTAGAAGACCCAGCCACGTTTCATCTTCAATGCCGTTGCTGATGGAAGGAGGTTTGCACTCAAAATCTTACGATACATGGCCCCATTCATTCTGTCTTGTTCATGGATCAGTCGTCCTGGTCCCTTTGTGGAGAAACAGCCCCAAAGCATGATGTTGCCACCCCCATGCTTCACAGTAGGTATGGTGTTCTTTGGATGCAACTCGGCATTCTCTCTCCTCCAAACACGACGAGTTGTGTTTCTACCAAACAGTTCTATTTTGGTTTCATCTGACCATATGACATTCTCCCAATCCTCTTCTGGATCATCCAAATGCTCTCTAGCAAACTTCAGACGGGCCTGGACATGTACTGGATTAAGCAGGGCGACAGTGCTGGATCTGAGTCCCTGGCGGCGTAGTGTGTTACTGATGGTAGCCTTTGTTACGTTGGTCCCAGCTCTCTGCAGGTCATTCACTAGGTCCCCCCGTGTGGTCCTGGGATTTTTGCTCACCGTTCTTGTGATCATTTTGACCCCACGGGGTGAGATCTTGCGTGGAGCCCCAGATCCAGGGAGATTATCAGTGGTCTTGTATGTCTTCCATTTTCTAATTATTGCTCCCACAGTTGACTTGTTAACACCAAGCTGCTTGCCTATTGCAGATTCAGTCTTCCCAGCCTGGTGCAGGTCTACAATTTTGTTTCTGGTGTCCTTCGACAGCTCTTTGGTCTTCACCATAGTGGAGTTTGGAGTGTGACTGTTTGAGGTTGTGGACAGGTGTCTTTTATACTGATAACAAGTTCAAACAGGTGCCATTGATACAGGTAATGAGTGCAGTACAGAGGAGCCTCTTAAAAAAGAAGGTACAGGTCTGTGAGAGCCACAAATCTTGCTTGTTTGTAGGTGACCAAATACTTATTTTCCACCATAATTTGCAAATAAA